TTATTTGTTGGAGTGGATGCCTTTGCATACAGCAAGACGAACAGCTAGTTTTGGAGGAAGGCCAGGGGTTGTGTAGGTGGAGCGGTGTGCCATTGTGTGCGTGAGGAGTTATTCAGTGGTGCATTTGAGGAAGCGATGCGCTGGTGTGCGTGCGCGTGAGTGGAGGCTGGATACTGTGTGCTGGTTCATGCTAGGCTGTGTAGCGTTCAGCGTATATTGCCACGCAGCAAGTGCGGATCAATGCAAGATGAGGCGCATATGCGTGTTGACCACTGCATTGTATTTGGCAGCTGTAGCGTTGTGCATTGGGTGGGGGATGGGGTGAACCTAAATGGGGGTAACATAGTGTAGAGTGTGTGGCGAGACGCGCCGGATTCTCGAGTATGTGTTTTGTTTCGGAAGGAGCCGAAGTTGTATATTCGGAGTTGGTTAGGAGGATTTGAGTGGCCGATATTTGTTGGAGTGGTTGCCTTTGCATACGGCAAGACGGGCAGCGAATTTTTGGAGGAAGGTCAGGGCTTGTGTAGGTGGAGCACTGTGCCACTTTGTGCGTGAGGATGTATTTAGTGGTGCGTTTGAGCAAGCGATGGGCGGGAGTGCGTGGGCGGTAATGGAGGTTGGATACTGTGTGCTGGTTCATGCTAGGCTTTCTAGCGTTAAGCGTATATTGCCACGCAGCAAGTGCGGATGAATGCAAGATGAGGCGAATACGCGTGTTGAAGACTGCATTGGATTTGGCAGCTGCAGCGCTGTCCATTGAGTGGGGGATGGGGGGATGCTAAATGGCCGTAACATAGTGTAAAGTGTGTGGGCAAAAGCGGTGGGTTGTTGAGTATGGGCTTTGTTTAGGAAGGGCCTGAAGTGGTATGTTGGGAGTTAGTTAGAAGGATTTGAGTGGCGTATATTTTTTGCGGTGGATATTTTTGCATACGTCACGACGGGCAGCTAATGCTGGAGGAAGGTCAGGGCTTCTGTAGGTGGAGCAGTGTGCCATTTTGTGTGTGCGGAGGTATTTAGTGGTGCGTTTGAGGAAGCGATGCGCTAGTATAGGTAAGCGTTTATGCAGGCTGGATACTGTGTGCTGGTTCATGCTAGGCTGTGTGGCGTTCAGCGTATATTGCGACGCATGTGATGCGGATAAACGCAACATCAGGCGTAGCTGCGTGCTAAGCACTGCATTGGATGTGGCAGCTGCAACGCTGTGCGTTGAGTGGGGGATGGGGGGGAAGTTAAATGGTAGTAATATAGCGTAAGGTGTGTGGCGAGAAGCGGCGGGTTGTTGAGGATGGGTTGTGTTTAGGAAGGGCCTAAAGTTGTATGTTGGGAGTTGGTTAGAAGGATTTGAGTGGCCGATATTTGTTGGAGTGGATGCCTTTGCATACGGAAAGACGGGCAGCTAATGCTGGAGGGAGGTCAGGGGTTGTGTAGGTGGAGCAGTGTGCCATTTTCGTGTTGATCTGGTGTTTAGTGGTGCGTTAGAGGAAGCGATACTGTTTGCTGGGTGATGCTAGGCTGTGTAGCGTTAAGCGTATATTGCCACGCAGCAAGTGCGGACAAATGCAGGATCAGGCTTAGCGGCGTGTTAGACACTGCATTGTATTTGGCAGCTGCAGAGCTGTGCAGCGAGTGGGGGATTGGGGGAGGCTAACTGAGGGCAATCTAGTGTAGACTGTGTGGCAAGAACCGGCGGGTATTTGAGGATAGGTTGCGATTAGGAAGGAGGCGAAGTTGTATGTTGGGAGTTAGTTAGAAGGATTTGAGTGGCCGATATTTGTTGGAGTGGATGCCTTTGGATACGGCAAGACGGGCAGCTAATGTTGGAGGAAGGTCAGGGTTTGTGTATGTGGAGCAGTGTGTCATATTGTGGTTGAGGAGGTATTTAGTGGTGCATTTGAGGAAGCGATGCGCTGGTGCGCGTGGGCGATAATGGAGGCTGGATACTGTGTGCTGGTGTATGCTAGGCTGTGTAGCGTTCAGCTTATATTGCCACGCATGGGGTGCGGATAAACGCAAAATCTGGCTGAGCTG